GAGGGCTGGGGAGTGGGCACAGCGGCCCCGGAGAGAGCCCAGGCCCATCTTGGCTCCTTGCCCCGGCCCCGCTTTGCGCCCAGGGAGGAGGAGAGAAGTTTTAGCAGGGAACTTGCTCTCTGGGAGGGCGGACCGTCGTAGGCTTCCATTCTGCGGCCCCAGCCACACCGCCCGCTGAGCAGGCAGCTGCTGATTAATTTTTTTGTTGCGTCGGAGTCTCACTCTTGCCCCAGCTGGAGTGCAGTGGCACGATCACAGCTCCCCACAGCCTCACCCTCCTGGGCTCAAGTGATCCTCCCTCTGCAGCCTCCGGATTAGCGGGGACCATAGTCATAGCCATGACACCTGGCTAATTGTTAAAAGGTTTTATTCTGTAGAGGCGAGGTCTTGCGACGTAGCCCAGGCTGACATCAAACTCCTGGGTTGGAGCGATCCTCCGCCTTGGCTGGCAAAGTGCTGGGATTACAGGCATGCCTGGCCTGACCAAAGTTTTTGGAGGCAGAATGCCCCAGGTGGCTCTGAGAGGAGGAACTCCTGGGTGGGAGGGGAAATCCTATTCTGTCCCCAGAGTCCACAGTCTAGCTCCCAGTCATGAGGGGCCACCAGAGCTACTTGCTGTGGATTGTGGGCGGCAGAAACCCTGCTGCAGCCCGAGGGAGCAGGGCAGGACTGGGGAAGTTTGGCAGGGTGGTGCCAAGCCACCATCCCTGCTGAGCACCACTCTCTCTCCTGCTGTCTCCCTTCTCCCAGAGCCCAGGGTGGAGTCCTGTGTGAGCAGGGTCTAGACCCACGCTCCAGTTGCGGAGAGGGACCTGTTAGGTCGACCTGGTGACACATTCTTGGCCAAAAAAACATCTGTTCAGCAAGAGAGGTCCCCTCCCCCAGCACAGAGCCTCTGCCAGCCCTAGACTCAGCTTCATATCTGACATCAGTGAGGGAAGTTCAAATCCTTTTGCAACAGAGGTTCACCAGTCAGGCAGCTGTTGACCCAGATGTGAACAAGGCTTGACCAGGACCCCCTTCCTGTCACCATCTCCCTGCCAGGCCCTGTGCTGGGCACCTGAACCCAGAGCTGAGCCCGCAGAAGCTTGCAGCCTGGGGCACGTGGCATGATCCACTCAGCATGACAAGAGTGAGCAAGGGGCAAGACATCTGGGGCAGGAACAGTAGACTCTGTCTGGGTGAATCCAGGAATGCTTCCTGGAAGTGGTGGTATTGGGGCTGCTTGTTCAGCAAGTACAAGAGAAAGAAAAGGGTTTGAGGCTGAAGAAACGTCAAAGACAGCGTGGAGAAAGAAGGGTAAGTGTCAGGCAGAGGAGTAGAGAAGTGAGTGAGACGGAGAAGGAACGCAGGGACTTAGGAGGGATAGCCTGCCACGCTGAGCAAGACCTTGGATGTCAGGCTAAGGAGGCTGACTTCGCCTGTGCACAGTGGGAGCCACAAAAGGATATTGAGCAGGAGAGTGACACAGTCAGATTTGCTTGGAAAGGATCTGCGGTAGGGCAGTCTGGAAGGTGACCTGGAGAGGGTGAGTCTGACCCTCTGCCCCTGCCCACAGCCGTGCGCGCTGACCGCATGCGGGGTGGCCGGAACAAGTTTGGGCCCATGTACAAGCGGGACCGGGCCCTGAAGCAGCAGAAGAAGGCACAGATCCGGGCCAATGGCTTCAAGCTGGAGACGGGCCCCCCGATGGGGGTGCCTCCACCGCCGCCTCCCGCGCCGGACTATATGCTGCCCCCCAGCCTGCATGCACCTGAGCCCAAGGGCCTGGCCTCGGGTCCACCTGCCGGGCCACTGGGCGACTTTGGGGCCCCAGCATTACCCATGGCCGTGCCCAGTGCCCACGGGCCACTGGCTGGCTCCCTCTACCCCGCCTTCCCCGGCCGTGCCATCAAGTCTGAGTACCCTGAGCCCTACGCCAGCCCCCCGCAGCCTGGGCTGCCCTATGGCTACCCAGAGCCCTTCTCTGGAGGGCCCGGTGTGCCCGAGCTCATCCTGCAGCTGCTGCAGCTGGAGCCTGACGAGGACCAGGTGCGGGCGCGCATTGTGGGCTGCCTGCAGGAGCCCACCAAGGGCCGCCCCGACCAGCCCGCACCCTTCGGCCTCCTGTGCAGGATGGCCGACCAAACCTTCATCTCCATCGTGGACTGGGCACGCAGATGCATGGTCTTCAAGGAGCTGGAGGTGAGTCCCCCTCCCCCAGCCAGCCCCGGAATAGGAGGCATCCTCTCCGCCGTAGCCTGCCCACCTTTGGATGAGGCCTTCCTGCCTGCTGGGTTTGGTGCCTGGGGACGCTGTTCTGGACCTTAGGCGGCATTTCCGGTCTGTCACAGCCTCCTGGGTCCCCTGCTGCCACCCTGCTCCCTCCCTGCTCCCTCCTTCTCTTCTCTGTTTCTCCAAACTCTGGCTCTTCCAGCCTCTGCCTCTTTGATGTCTGCCTTCGTCTCTCTCTTTCTCTCTCTCCCTGAGTGCTGTCTGCTGTCTCTCTGCCCCTCTGTGTCTGTTTCTTCCCCCTTCTGGGTCGGTCTCTCTCTCTCTCTCTCTCTCTAGGCCTTTCTCTTTCACTGAGACCCTGGGTTCCCTCAAAGAACTAGCTGAGTCCTGGTGAGACTGTCTTGTCCCCCAGGGCCCCACCCCAGTGTTGGGAAGGGGACCCAGCTCATCCTTCCTCCCATTTGCCAATCCCCGCCGGCCTCGAATGCCACAGAGGGCCTCTTAGTGTCTCAGAGCATGGGATGTTTGTGGGCCCTTCTCCCTCCTAGCTGAGGAGCAAGCTCTCACTGCCCTTACATCTCTTGTGTGTGGTGCTTGGTCAATTGGGTGTGCAACTGTGTGTCGTTGTGTCTGTGTGTGCAGGGGAGCTGGGTGGGTGGGCAGATAGGGTTTCAGTGCCCCCCACTGACCTACCCGGGTGAGGCAGCCTTCGTCCACTGCAGGGCCTTCTTTCCCCCTGGGTTGAGGTACCTGAAGCTGAAGTAAGCAGAAAAGCAGCAAGAGAGACTGAGGCCAACCATAAGAAAGAACTTCCCAGTCATCCCACCTAGTGGCTTGAAGGGCCTAAGGCCTGAGAGCTGTTCCTCTGGCAACCTGGCTCCCTGTGAGGCCTCCCCCAGAAGCCCCTCCACCCTGGCCAAGGCCCATCCCTCCCTGGCCTGGGTATGGGTACTCTCAAGTCCAGGCCTATTGGTGCTTGGCTTTCCCAGGCTTGTCCCACTGGCTGTTCTGGGGCTGGCTGTAAACAGCGGGCCGTTGCCCTCCCTGCTGGGGCCACGGCAGCCTTGAGCCGCATTGTAGTGCTGACGCCACTTGGGCCTGGGCTTCCTCCAGGGGCATGTGGCCGGATGGGCTGGGGGCACTGCCTGCCCTGGTTGGCGTGGTGGGGGATGAAGGTGGGGCGGGGGCACCCTGAGCCCTGGGCATCATGGGGCTGGGAGCTTGGGTTTCTCTGGGAATCCAGGATCGGTGCTGATGGCTCCTCCGCTGTGGAGGGCCTGCCATGGCTAAGGCCTGGGAAGTGCCACGTGTCTGTTGTGGGTGGGCTTCTCACCCAGCCCCTCTCACCACTGCCCCCTCTCTGGACCTAACGGAGGGAGTGAAAGACAGGGTCCAGAGTGCTCCCACCTGCTCTCTGCTCACTGCTGGAGGCCTCCATAGGGATGAGGAGCCCAAGCCCCTCGGGCTGGTTCATCTTCCTGCCAGACTTCCCATGAGCCCCTGTGCAGAGGAGAGGAGGAGTGGGGCATTCCCGGCCTTCCAGAGCCCTGGATCCAGGGGCAGGGCACTTCCTTTGGCCATCTTCCTGGTCTCCCGGGGATTTTCACGCAGGATGGGAAGGGCTTTTGTCCCAGCTTGGCTGAGTGTTTTTTCCTGCTTCTGGCTTCTCCGTGGTCCAAACCTTCCTGCTTCCCCTCCCAGAGTCTCTGAATTGAACCCAGGAATAGGAACTGTGGCCGTCAGCCTCTGTAAAGGGGCCTTGCAGACAGGCACCAGCCCAGTCCTGAGGGCACCTCTTGGCAGCCAGGAGGAAGGTTTTTCCCTACGAGTCCAACAGGTCCAGAGCTGGTGTCTGTTCCAAACCCAGAGGGGAAGAGGCAGAGAGGTGGGAGGGGTGCGGCTTGAGCCTGGCCTCCCTTCTGGCTGACCGTTCAGCGCCCCCACCGCCAGCCGGGATGCATCTTAGCAGATGGAAGTGGGGGCTCTCTGGCTCTGAGAGTGGGGAAGACCTAGGACTGGACACCAGGGATATTAAAATGAACTGAACCCAGGGAGCTGCCAGGCTAGATGAGAAGACAGACATGCGCATGGGGATGCCAGTGCAAAGGGCCAGGGTTCTATGAGTAAAGGAGGAGGCGGAGGGAGCCCAGCGGGAGAGCAAGCAGCTATAGCTAAGGGAGTCAGAGGAGGCTTTTGGGCCTATCCGGAAAGCAGTCAGAGAAGGGGGAGGACATTCCAGGCAGTGGGAACAGCATAGGCTAAGGCCTGAAACGTAAAGAGGCATCATGCGTTCTGGGAGTTCCTGGTGGGCCTATGGAGCAGGGCTGGAGAGGCTGGTGATGTCAGAGCAGAACTCGGCCCAAGAGTGGACCAAGAGTGGCTGCCAGGGCCGGCTGGGGCCCCACATCCCAGGACAGGGAGGGGTTCCCCAGAGAGCCTCCATGTGGAGGCCCGCTCACCCATCTGTGATGCTGTTCCAGGGAAGGCCCAGGTTTGCAGTGGGGCTGTAGGGGATGCTGGGATCCCAGATGCGTCTAGTGCTTCTTGGGGTTTTCCTCCTCCATCCTCTTTCCCAGCGTGAATGGCTGGCCCCCTGTCTCCACCTTTCCATCTCAATCAATCATAGCATGGTAGTTCTGATAGGGCACAGAAGTGAAACCAGAGACCAGAGTCAGAGAGGCCCATTGTCAAGTTCCAGCTCTGCCACTTGCACGCTGTGTGACTCTGGGTAAGTGACGTCACTCCTCTGGGCCTCAGTTTTCTCATCTGTGAAATGGGAGGAGTTTAACTAGTATCTACCTCGTAGTGTTGTTGTCAGGGTTTAGTGACGGGGACAGGTAAAAGATTTAGCATGGCCTGGCACACTGAGCTCAGGAAGCAGGGCACAGCTACCCTCCTCTCTCTTCCTGTGGCTCTGCCATTTCCCTATATATGCAGGCTGTACTCAGGCCTGGCCAGGAGGAGATGGGGGAAGGGCACACTGTGTCCATGCTCCTCCCAGGGCACTCTGTCCTGGGCTTATGAAGCAGTATCTCACCTGCAAGGTGGAGAAACTCACCTTTGCCTGCTTCCTGGGGCGTGTCCAGGGCCTGGACGGTCATGCTCTGGACAGTCACCGTGAAGGACCACGGGGAGATGTGAGATGGGCATCAGGGAGAGGGAGCAGGGCCAGGAGCACCTAATGACCACCTTGACACGGGTCACCTCACCGTCTAGCACCGAGGTCCCCGTTGGCAACAGAGCTAACTGCCCGGATCTGTGGTTTCACTAAGCAGCGATTACCCCATCAGTCCTGGGCTGGCAGACGCCGGCTTGCCGACCTCTGGGCCAGGAGAGCGCCGGCCAGCCTGTGGCATGTCAGCCCTGGAGAGTTACGGGCCTGCTGGCCTTCACAGCTAGGCCGATCAGGCCCCAGGGGGCTCTGGAGGGGGCCCCTGGAGGGAGGGAGGTCAGCTCAGCACCCATAAATACCCCGTCTCTGAGGCAGGCTGCAAAGTGTCAAGGCTCCAGGAAGATTTGTGGCAGTCCGGTGGGGGTTGCGGGGGTGAGGGAAGCAGATGATGGGCTGAACAGATAGGCCAGACTAGCTGGGGACCCCAGGATCAGGATGGCAAATGCCCTTGTTCCCAGGAAGGCATGGAAGTTTGAGGGCAGAGAAGGAGGAGGTTTTAGCTTAGGGAGAAACCTCTGGGGGGTGGAACCAACCCTCTTTGGTTAAGTGAGCCTCTTAGCCACCTGCTTTCTTGCGGAGAGGGACTGGCAGTCACGGCCCTCAGTTTTCTTTTCAATAAAAACTGTGTGTGTGTGTGTGTGTGTGTGTGTATGTGTGTGTGTGTGTGTGTGTACTTGTGCTCCTCATTGTGGCAGTATTTTAGAGTTTGGTGCCCCTAGGCATTCATCTGTCCATCTAAGGGAAGCAGTGAGTACAGAACAGGTGGCTTGGCCAAGGGCTCAGGTGGAAACCAAGGGAGGACAGCAGCCCCGGGAGGGCCAAGAGTGGGTCCAGAGAGCTCAGTGTGTGTTCATACGTTTTCTCCAGCCCCAAGAGACAGAAATAATTTTTCCCATTTCACAGAACAGGAAATTAGGGCAAAAGGACACATGGCCCAGATTGGGACTTGAACCCAGGGCACTCAGTGCCAAAGCTTCAGCCCCCATATGGCAGCTCTCTGCCCCTGCTGCTCCATCTGCCTCTCCAGGAGGGCTGCCCCCTCCCAGGGTCTAAGGGCCGGGTAGAGTCTGCTCCCGGGCCGGGCCAGCCAGGTCACTGTGACCCCTTCTGCAGCTGCCCAAGCCCCGCCTGCTTATCTCCTCATTCTCTGCCTTATCTCGTCTCTTCCACCCCCCACCCCCTTGTTCCTTCAATCTAGGCACAAGGGTGTCTGCTCCCGCAGGCCCATGATGGGTGGGGGCAGAGCACGTCCTCCCCAACCCCCAATCTGGGTCGCCAAAGGTGGGCCTGCATTTTGCTTGCTGCCAGTGCGACTCCCTGGGCAGGCACCTCCCGCCTGGGCCTCCAGAAGTTCCCAGGCCCCCAGGAGACAGGCCCAGCCACCTGTGTGTTACCTTGGGCGAGCCTCTCCTTCCTTTTCTGGGCTGCACATGCTGAGGGACCGGGGGGCAGAATGTCACTAGGGCAAGGTAACACGTCTGGCACCCTACTGGGCACCATGCCTCCCTCCTGGACACTGTGGTGGGGTGGCCTCCTGCTCACCGCTCCTTGGGGCCTACTTCCTGAGGAGAGATGTCTTCGGGATTCAGCCCCTGTCCAACTCGCAGTCTCCCCTCCCACTGAGGGCTGACCCTGACCGGGGCTTAGCCTAGGATCCCATGGCTGGGTCTGTGCTGATGCCCGTGTGGAGCCGAGGGAAAGGAGTGGGAAGGAGGAACTGACAGGCTGGGGCCAGGCCAGAGGAACTTGTCCACGTGTCCAGCTCTCACTTTTCTCTTCATCCACTTTCTCCTTTCTCTCCCTCTGTCTGCTGGAAGATGAGGGCCCAGGGATGCCCCAAGAGAGAAGAGCAATGGAGAGGAGGATGGGGCTTCTACCCCACTCCCCAGAAGAGAGAACTGCTCTTTAAGCTGGCTCTGTTCCCCTGTGGCAGGGGCTGCCTCAGGTTGAGAGTGGTTTCTCTATGCTCTTGGTGCATGCCTTGGGCAGCACACGGTTGTTCGTTATCTGCTCACTGGTGCCTCTTCTGGGGGCTCAGAGATGAGCCCTCTCAGGAATCAGGGAAAGACAGAGGCATTGAATTGGAGCCCTCGGATGTTACAGATTCCATGTCCAGAGGGTGGTGAGGGCATCAAGGAAGGAAGAGGGATCACAGGGGCGGTAACAGCCTGTAAGAGACCTCCTGGGTGGCAAGGGGGAAGAGGGGTTCTTCTTCCATACCTGCTGGTTAAGAGCACAGATCTGGAGCCAGACGGAGCTGTGTAACCTTGAGAAAGTTCCTTGACCTCTCTGTGATGAGTTTCTTCTCTCTATAATGTAGGTAATGACCTATAACGTAGGTACCAACCTCGCTCACTGTTGGGCTGCAGTGTAACAACTGTCAGCAACCATGGTTTGCATTCACCACAAGGCATGGCCCGGGAAGGGGCCTGGGCAGTGTCCATGGGTAGATGGTGGCTGCCTGATGGGCTGCACGTGCTGAGGGACTGGAGGGTGACCTGCGGTGCCTAGTATGCTCTGAATACCCAGAAGGGCTCAGCTGGTCACTGTGGAGATTGTGGACCTGGAATGCCAGCCATGGCCCTGGCCATGATGCTAGGAGAGCCTCTCACCCTCTCTGGGTTGAGGAAAATAGGGGTTTGGGCCAGGGGGTCCCTAGCCCTGCTTCTGAGTCCCATTCACCATTGTGAAGAGCCTCCACCCTCGCCTTGCTGGAAGGCAGCGTCCCCCGCAGTTGAAGGCCACTCCCAACAGGGGCCATTCCTGCCTCTGCACCAAGTGCCCCTGACCACCATTCAGAATCTGCCCCTTGTCCTTGTCCTGTTCCTGCTCATTCCCTGGGCTCAACCGCAGGCCAGACGGGCCCTCCTTCTTGGCCGAAGGCACTGGGGAAGCTCTCTTTCTTGGAGCAGTTGGGGCTGCCAGAGGTGTGACTATAGACCAAATGGGCACGGTGTTAATATTAATAATCATCTCGCTTCGTGTTGGAAGGGGTCCTTTTCAGAGCACTTCTGTGGACATTAGGCGCAAACATGTATTGAGTGCTCAGTTTGTGCCAGATCGTCTGCTAAGTCCTCTGCCCACTTTACAGACTAGAAAACTGAAGCACTGAAAGGTGGGGGCTGGCAGCAGGCCACACAACTTGTAAGAGCCAGAGTTGTTGAGTCCCAGGCACCCAGGTTGGACCTTCATTTGGTATTTTGCTAGGCCCTGCCTCACTTTGATGACATAGATAGAGGGGTGGACTGGGTGCCCAGAGGTTAGGTAGCTTGCCAGAGGCACCCTCCCAGTTGAGTCCCAGCTGAGAGGAGGAGGAGGGGTGAGAGAAAGGGTCCTGCTAGACCCCAGCTGGAGCCCACCGGTGCTCTTTCCTCCAGGTTGCCGACCAGATGACGCTGCTGCAGAACTGCTGGAGCGAGCTGCTGGTGTTCGACCACATCTACCGCCAGATCCAGCACGGCAAGGAGGCCAGCATCCTGCTGGTCACCGGGCAGGAGGTGACTGCCCTGTGCCTGCCAGCTGCCGCACACATCCAGAATTCCAGGCCCAGAAGAGGACCAGGCCTCTCAGGGCTGGCTCTGGGAACCCTGATGTCAGCCCTTTCCCCAAGGGCATGGGACACCCCCTAACCCGAGCCCCTGTGAGCAGCCCTGGTCTGGCCTTGAGGGGAAACCAGCTCTGGAGCCCTCTGTGGGGAGCAGCTCAGGGGAGGCTCTTGCAGGAGGTGATGGTGGCACTGGGTCTCCAGAGAATTAACTGGAGTTGGTCACTGGTGAGAGGTGATGGCGGGGCAGTCCCTGTCTCCACTGCAGGCTCAGAGGGGGTGGGTTGGAAGCGCTGAGTCCCCACAGGCTGCTGGTGCTGGTGGGAGGACATGAGAGAAGAGGCTGGAAGGGTTGTGGGGTTGGGTTGATGGCCAAGACCTCTCAGGTCCTAGATCCTGAACGAATGAACGAATGAATGAATGGGCAAAGGGCTCCAGAGGGCTCAGAGTCAGAATTCGGGTGCCCCTCAGAGCAGGGAGTGAAGAACAGCAGGGATTGGAGAGAACCCCCCAAAACAAAGCAGAGGGGTGGGGAGAGTTGTAGGTAGAGGAGGGACACAGGAAGGTTGCATTTGAGGAATCAGGCAGGGTATGGGGACAGTTGCTGGGTCAGGGAGGAGGACCCCCCACTGCTGAGAGGGGGTGTAGGGAAAGAGAAGAAGGAAGAAGGGGACTCGAAGCGAGTGTGGCCTGTGGTGGGAGTGTCACTCCCGGTGAGATTACAGGAGGAGCAGCGGCTGGGTTGGTGCTGCTGGGGGAGGCTCTGCCCCCGCACCCCGCCCAGCCTCCCCAGGCCCTCCTTCCTCATCCTGGCGTCTCAGCCATCCGAGGGCAGGTGGATGGGAACACTGGGTCCAAGGGGGCGACTCTGGGCTTCCTGAGGGTGCCAATGCCGGGAGTCATGTGCGGAGTGAGTGTCCACACGTCGGCCGGGTCTCTGTGGCCATGGGAATGTCCAGGGTGCGTGTGGGTACATATGTGCCTGTGTTTTATTGTGCACATCTCTCCACATGCACAGGTGTGTGGGTATCACTATCCTGTCCCCCCGCTGATGTGGGCATGCATGCATGCGTCGGTGTTACCCTGGATGTGAGCACCCAAGGATGTGTGTGTGTGCATGCATGTTGTGCCTTCACATTGTGATGTGGGGGGACAGCTCTGTGAATGCGTGCATGCGTGTGTGTGTGAGCTGAGTCATGAGCCAGTGTGCGTGTGTGGGGTCTTCTGTGGCCATGTGGATGTGTTCGCGTGTCTCCAGTAGCCCTGCCCTACCCCCGACACCCCCACCTCCGGTGTGACACCCTTTGTATGGCTGGGTCCGGTGGCGCCTTGTATACAGAGGACCCTTAGAGCTGCCCCTGCGCCCACCTGCCCGGTGCCTGCTTTGCTGCCCTGTGGAGGAGGGGCGGGTGGTGGGCAGGTCATGGGTGTCCTCAGCACCGGGCGGCGAGTGGGGAGCTCAGGGGGAGATGCCACTGTACCTAGCTGAGCTCCGAGGCTGGCGCTCCTGGCCACAGCCCCTCTGACCTGGACTCTCAGGGTGCCCCTGACCCATGCCCTCTGGCCCCCAGGTGGAGCTGACCACGGTGGCCGCCCAGGCAGGCTCTCTGCTGCACAGCCTGGTGCTGCGGGCACAGGAGCTGGTGCTGCAGCTGCACGCCCTGCAGCTGGACCGCCAGGAGTTCGTCTGCCTCAAGTTCCTCATCCTTTTCAGCCTCGGTGAGTGGGACACACGTGAGGCCTGGGCTGGCCGGAGACGGCAAGGGGCAGTGGATAGGCAGGTGGGTGAGGCACAGGAGGTGATGAGGCTGGGGAGCCAGGACCCTCCCTTAGGGAGTAGACGTGTGAGGGCCCGACCCAGGCCTTTCTCTCACTTGGGGGCAGCTTCCCCCAGGACCCTCATTTTTCTGCTTGTAAGCAGAGGACCAAGAGAATGTCTATGATTTGCCCTGCACGGGACAAAGACCCCTTTTGGGGACCCGGTAAATTTCTGGCTGGCTACCCCTGAAAAGTGCCCGTGCCACCCGCAGAAAACATGCATGAGTTTAGAACTTTCTATTCCCCAGCCGCTGTTCTAGGGCCCTGATTTCCTTAATTCCCTGATCTTGGGGGTCCCAAATTCTGACTCTAGCTCTTGGGGGCCCAAACCCTTTGCCTACACATTCATTCATTCACTCACTCACTCATTCATCCGTTCGACAGACATGTGCTGAGCATCGGCACTATGCGAGGCCCTGGGGATGCAGCAGTGAGTAAAAAGGACCCCCAGCCCCTGCCCTCACGGAGCTGATCTTCTCTAGGGAGAGACACAAGGAGCACAATATGACTAGCAAATGTACAGATTCGAAACGGAACGTGCTTAGTAACGCGTGGCCAGGAAGCTCTGGGGAGAGCTATGGAAAGCCCTATGACCCCAGCCCCACCCGTGCCACTCCAGGCTTCACCCCCCCCCCCCCGCCGCTGGTCCCAGCAAATCATCACCAGTGTTCTCCCTGCACCTGGCAGTGCTGTGGACACGGGGCGATTCCTTGCCAGCTGAGACGAGACCTGCCGCCTGGGTGTTAGGACTGCAACAGAAAGATGGGTGTGGCTCGGGGAACCCAGGAGGCGTTTCTGCAAGAGGGACGTCTGTGTAGGGTTCTGGAGAAGGAGTGGAAGTCTGCTGGGTAAAATCTTTACCTAGAAGATGCAGAGGGGATGGAGCAGAGAAGATGAGTGCTTCATCACCTGGGGAGCGGGCAGTGTTGAAACACTGCCTTTGTGGCAGTTGGCATCATAGCCACAGTCAGGCAAGGGTGTGCCTGCCACAGAGAGGAAGAGTACAGCATGCTGGGAGGCAGAGGGGAAGAAGGGAGTTGATTAATGAAAAGTGAGAGCAGCACTCTGGTGGGATTGGGAGTACCCACCGTGGGCCAATGACCGGGCACGGTGGGCTGGGTCTCCTGACCAGCAGAAAGGCCGGTAGCTGGAGGGCTTACCTGCAGGGCTGCCCTAGGCCTCCCCAGGACATCAGCAGGGCTTTGCAGGCGTTTGGCTAGGGACAACCATTGCGGGGAAGGGGCAGAATCTTAGGCAGTGCTGGGAGTGGTGGCCTGATATCCTCGCCCACCCCTGCCTGTCGTGGCAGCCCCCTACCCTGTCCTCAGCAGCTGGCATGGGCTGGGGCACAGACGTGTGTGGCCAGCTCTGTGTGGTATGGGTATGGTGGTCACAGGAGCACTGTGTGTGTCTGTGCCTCTGTTCCCATGCTCACATGTGCACGAACAGAGGCTAGAGTCTTTTGTGTGTCAGTATGTGTGAAAAGTGTGTGTGGAACTGGGAGTGACTGAAGGCTTGGGAGCATGACCAGTCTGGAGTGAGCGTGGTGCTTGGAGGCCTTTATGGGGTCTGTGGGGTCTGGGTGGTCTATGAGGTGGCAGTTCTCAGCATCACTGCCATCGCAAGGCCTCCTTGATCAAGGCTCCTTCTATCCTGAGGCACCCCCACAAGAGCAGGGAGGATGTCTGGGCCCCAACCCCTCTTCCCACCGAAGCCCCAGGGGTTCAGGACTGCCAGGCCCAGCACGGCCCTGGCCGACACCTGGAGCTGAACCCAAGCTTCCTCTCGTTTGTGTGAGGAGGATAGCAAAGCTGAGCCCATCTCGCTTCTCTCAGGTCCAGGCATGGCTGTACCCAGAACAGGGGATGCCCGGCTCCCCTCCGTGCTAGTCTTCATCCTGCTTCCAGATGAGGCAGCTGAGGCTGGCAAGATGGGCAGAGACTACAGGGCCGGGTTGGAACAGGCTGGGGGTCAGGGAAGGGTGGGAGAGTGTGTGGCGTGTCTGTGTGTGTGTTAAAGAGAAAGAGGCAGGGGGGCACAGTGGGTAGGACTAGGTGGAGAAGATGACTTGGATTCTAAATCTGGTCTCTCTCTGGCTGTGTGACCTTGAGCCAGTCAGTTCCCTCTCTGAGCCTCTCTTGCCCCATCTATAAAATGACCATGATGATGATCCTTGACGTGCTTGGCCTGACTCTGTGGAATGTGCGTCAGTGTTGTTTGATCGTAATCATCATTGTGAAGTTGGTGAGCAAATGAGCAAGTTAATGAATGAAGTGAAGGAGTGAAGCAGGTCACCGTCTCTGCCCTTCTCGCATGCTGTATGTCTGGCACAGGAACAGGGGTCTGGCTGAGGTGAGTGCAGGAGCCCCCAGCCCATCAGGCCAGAATCTCATGAGGCTGGGGCTGCCAGAGGAGGAGGAGGAAGGGGAGGAGGAACAGGAGGAGGAGGAGGAAGGGGGGAGGAGGGAGAGGAGAAGGAGGCTCCAGGAGTGGCCTGCGTGAGCTGACGGAGAGCAGTGAGGGAGGAGGCCTGGTGAGATCAGGGCTAGACCAGAAAGGCCTGGGATATCAGGGAAGGCTTCTGGGAGGAGGGCCCTCTAAGCCGGGCCTTGCAGTGTGAGTAGGAATTTTCTTGGTGAAGCAAAGCAAGAGGCACTAAAGGCATTCCAGACGAGAGGAGCTGCTTGTGCAAAGTTACGGGGAGTCCTGGAAATTTGCTGTGGCTGCAGGGAGGGGGGAAGGGAGCGTAGAGGAGGCTGGTGAGGTGGGTGGAGGCCAAGCTGCACAAGGCCTTACATGCCAGCCTGGGTGCCTGCAACCTTCCCTTGGGACGGATTTTATTTTATTTTTTATTTTTATTTTTTTTGAGTTGGAGTCTCACTCTGTCGCCCAGACTGGAGTCCAGTGGCCGCTCCTGGTCACCGCAGCCTCCCCTGCTGGGCTCCGGCGATCCTTCTGCCTCAGCCTTCTGAGTAGCCGGAATTACAGGCATGCGCTACCACGCCCGGCTGATTTTTTGATTTATGGCAGAGATGAGGTTTCGCTGCCCAAGTGGGTCTCGAACCCGCGGGCTCAGGCAACCCACTCACCTCAGCCTCCCAAAGGGCGGGATTACAGGCTGAGCCACCGAGCCGGCTGGGACGGATTTTAAACAGGGAGCAACATGATCAAATTTAGTTTCCCAGGCCCTCCTCAGTGTGGCACAGCGGAAGGATGGCAGGCAGGTAGCCCAGAGCCCTGCCAGGGCCTGGACCCGGGGCTGGAGTGGAGCTGACAGCCTCAGAGTACAGACCAGAGGGCTGCACGCATGACCCAGCCCCCAGAGCCAGGGCCTCCAAGGACACTGGGACCCAGAGAGGGACCGCCACCTGCCCGCAGACTCCCAGCTGGTGTGTGGGGCTGCCGCTCAGGCGGCTCCTCCCTGGGCGGGGCAGCCTGGACTGTGTGCCGGTGTCCCCCACCCCGCTCCCTCAGCGCCTCCTTCTCGCCTGCCTCCGCATAAGGGTGCCATTTGGCGTCTAAATAGCCGTCTGGGGAGGGCGCGGAGGCAGGTAAGGAGGTTTAATTAAAATTAGTGCCTCTCTCCTGGCAATCACGGTGTTTATGAAGATGGGCCCGGCTGGCATTGTTCCCCCGAGGACTTAATCGAAGCTTAATGGATTGACCTAACATTCGATTTCCTGACTTCCATTGAGGCGGCAGCAGCAGCATTCCCTTAAGCGTTTGCAATTTACCCACTGCTCCGCGCCAACAAAAGGCGGCCTGAATAGCAGCCCCACTCGAGGGGCCATTGTGCGCGGGGGCGCCTGCCTGAGTCACCGCTATTGGGACAACATTCTTTATGCCTCGCTGGAATGAAAGGATTATTCAAATATTCAATTAAACCGTGAAAAGGGGGCTTTTCTGAGAACCTGGGGGCCCCCAGCTCCGCAGAGCCAGCGTGCTGCTCTTGAGGTGGGGGCACATCTCCCAGCTCCCCCCACCTCCAGGGTTGCTGGGAGCCGAGCAGGCCCCGGTGCTGAGGCTTGTCTCCACTGTGCCCATCTCCAGCCTGCGAGCGCTCAGGGCCCAGAGCTGGGCACACAGATTAGGCCCAGGTCTGGGCCACCCTGGGAGACAGATTAATTTGGCCCCATTGTGCAGATGATAGGAAACTAAGGCTCAGAGAGGGCAAGTGACTTGCCCGAGGCCACCCAGCTGCTTGTAGAGCTCAGATCTGAACCCCGGACACGGGAAGGGGGTGTCTCCGGGTTGGTTTGGCCCCTGCCCCAGTGTTTCATAGAAGAAGGGCATGGTGCTGTGTGGGAGGTTGGCTGCATCACATCCGATGTCCTGTCACATCCTCATAACAGTCTAGAGATTGGGGGCACAGGGAGTCTTGCAGAAGGGGAGTGACATGCCTAAGCGCTCAGAGTGAGGAGGAAGTGGAGTCTGGAGTCCAGAGTAGCCTCTCAGGGGGACACTCAGGACTCCAGGAGTGGGGGCTTTTGGATGGGACTCCTGGGTTGGATGGAACATAAAGTTATGCCCAGTTGCTCCAGTGAGGCTGCCCAGCTCTGCTTGCCCATAGCGGGAGCCTTGGGCTTGGAGTCACAGAGGCCTGGGCGAATCCAGGCTCTGTTATCTCATGTGTCTTGGGCATGCCCTGTTGCTCTGAGTCTTGGGGATGCACTTGGGTGTCCATAGGGATTAGCTGAGGGGGTGCAAGTGCCAGGCGAGTGCCCGGGAAGCCTGGCCCCAGCTCCTGGCCTGGAGCTGCTGGGGTCCCCCCTGTAATGTGATTCCCTCCCTAGCCCCGGGTCTGTCCTCGAGGGGCAGCGGGCCTCCAGCCTGCAGAGGGCTGAGAGTCCCCAGAACTGCTGCCGGGGGCCGTCCCTAATGCCTGTCCTTGCTCTGCACCCCCCCACACACACACTCCGCCCCACTGTCCCTGGAACGCTGCTGCTGAGGACAGTAAATCCTGGTAAAGCCAAGGCCCTGGTCCTCCCGGGTCCCCTCCCATCCCTGCCCTTACTGTGGCATTCTAGCCAGTCCTCCTCCACTCCAGCTGTTTCCTCCAGGCCCCTTTCCTGCTGTGTGGCCTTGAGCTGGTCCCTATCCTTCTCTGGACCCCTGGCCTCCTACCGTGAACTGTCAGAAGGCAATATCAGACTTCCCCAGCCCTGAAGATGGTGGGGAGCAAAGGCAGATGGGACAGGATTGGAATGGAAAAGGCTGGGACAGGGATGGGTCCAGCAGCCCCCTCTTGTCCCCGGGAGCCCAGCTAGGTGGTGTGACTTCCCACAACCTCTGTGTCTGGGACAGGCCAGGCTGGCGAGCAGGGCTGCTCCATAGAGTTGGGCAGGTCCTTCACTGCACAAGGGCACCTGGGCTGGGAGGAGTGGTGCTGAAACCCAGCCTTGTCTCTGGGGCCAAGGGGAATGTCCATCTAATTGGCACAGAGGTGCTTTCTGAGCTTGTGGTGATCCTGGGGTGGTGAGGAAGAAAATGCCCTGGCTCACGCACTAAAGGGAGGATTGAGGGCCCAAGGCGGGGGTGGAGGGTGGAGGCCAGATCCTGCCATACGCCCTGGGCCCAGCTCGGGTTTCCCTAAATCCGACTTTGGACAACACAGGCCTCCGCGGGCGCGCTGGGGGCGGCCAGGGATCAGGGTTGCCAAGAGCGGCCTGCTCTCCTGGCGCAGTGGGTGTTAGGGGGATTAGCGGGGCCAAGGGCTGCACATGCTGGCTCCAGACTCCCCCGCAGCAGCAGGGTTGGGAGATGGGGTGAAGGGGAAGTGCATGGGTGACTTTTTTTTTTTTTTAAGATATAGGGTCTTGCTCCTGTGGCTTAGGCTGGAGTGCAGTGGCACAGTCATGGCTCACTGCTGTCTTGGATTCCTAGACTCAAGTGATCCTCCTGCCTCAGCCTCCCAAATAGCTGGAACTACAGTCACTCGCTACCGTGCCCGACTAACTCTTTAATTTTTTTTGTTGAGATGCGGTCTCACTATGTTTCCCGGGCTGGTCCTGAACTCCTGGGCTCAAATGATTCTCCCACTTTGGCCTCCCAAAGTACTGGGATTGCAAGCATGCGCCACCACGCCAGCTCCTGGATGGCCATTTTCTGAGCCACTGGGCACCACCTCCCAGGCAAGGCTGAGCCAGGATTTGCAGACTGGGACTGATTTTTATGGCTTACTCCTGACCCTGAGACCCAGGCAGGGCACCAGCTGTAGAAGCTGCCTGAGCGCTGAAGGGGCCTGCAAGCGGGGATGAGGACTTGGGTGACAAGAAACTGACCCAGGCTACCCCCACCCACAGCCCCTCCTGGCCCCCTTCTGGGAGAAGGAAGGCCTCTCAAGTGAGGGTGGGGCAGGGCCCACAGGGCCACCACTCCTAAATGGCAACTGGGATTCGAAGCCTCATCTGTCTCACTCCAAAGACATTTTATTTTTGTCTCTTTGCTGGACCTCGGGTCACACCCCTCCATTAATGGCACGGATGACCATGGGTCCACACAGAGTCAGCCCCTCACAGGGAGCCATTCCTTCATGTCTGATGCATATCATCTTGTTCGTCCCTGTCCTTCCCATAATGTGCCTGCTTTGTGTCCAGAGTTTTAATTTATGTAAATGGCTTTGCCTTACAGATCTCAAAGCACTTCCTTTTGTGCTTTTTGTTTTCCGCTCAGCCCCGTGCTTTTAAAGGCCCGTGCATCTGCCCTGTGTTGTGCCTGCTCCATTACTCCTGGCTGTGACACACGTCTCCTTGGGTGCGGTCGCCACACAGCCAGCCTCACCACCGCGCCTCCCTAACTTATGGTGTCTCAACTTATGAGTTCCAACTTCGTGGTGGTGTGACAGCGACATGCACACAGTAGAAAGCATACCACAAAGACCACAAGGCCACTCCCTTCTTCATGTTCAGGCCATGTTCAGTGGATGACAAGAGACATTCAACACTTTGTTATAAAGTAGGTTGGTGTCAAATGGCTTTGTCCAACTGCAGGCCATTGTGAACATACTGAGCACGTCTGTGGGAGGCTAGGCTATGTGATGGCAATTGGCAGTTAGGTACATTAAATGCATTTTTTTGGGGTTGGGGGTCTCGCTCTGTCACCCAGGCGGAGTTCATGATCAAAGCTCACTGCAGCCTCAAGCTCCTGGACTCAGTGATCCTTCTGTCTCAGCCTCCCAAGCAGCTGGGACTATAGGCACGCACCCCACACCATCTAATTTTTTAATTTATTGTAGAGATGGGGTCTCACGATGTTGCCCAGGCTGGTTTCAAACTCTTGGGCTCAAGAAATCCTACTGCCTCGGTTTCCCAAAATGCTGGGATTACAAGTGTGAGACACCACATCTGGTCTAAATGCATTTTTTACTTACGATATTCTCAGCTTTTGGTGGGTTTATCGGGGACATAGCCTGGTGTAGGCTGAGGAACATCTCTCTTGCTGTAGTGAACATCCATGTCCTTGGTGACCCCGGGAGGAAGCTCTCACAGAAGAGTGCCCATGTTCTCTAGAATGGGGCCCTGGTCCTTTTGCCTCATGGTATGAGATGGAACTACTCACTGTGCTCCTCTCTGGTCTTAGTGGGGATGGGGTGACGGTGGCAATGGTGGCAGGGTGGTGATGGGGATAGCAATGGCCGTGAAGATGAGGTACTGCTTATGATGGTGACAGGATGGCTTTGACCATGGCAACAAGGTTAATGTTGGCCTAGGCCGTGGTGAGAGCCGGATGTGACACCAGCTGACCTCTGAGTGTCTTCCATGCGAGGCTCGTCACCCACACACTTTGCGTGTGTCAGCTCTCCACGTTCTCATGACAAGTCTCGGGAAGTAGGCACTGCTGTCACCCCCACTTCACAGAGGGGGAAACTGAAAGGTTGGATAACATACCCAGGATGCACCTGCTGAGGCTGGTGATTCTCTGCGTTCATCGTGACCATTGCAATACTGACAATAGCAGTAGGATGGTGACGGGTGATGTGAGTGTTGGCAGTGAAGGCGGTGGTGCTCGTCAACCAGGCAACAGTGGTGATGGTGACACGGTGGTGACAGGGAGGACTGTGGGTCGTGGTTGATGGTGGCAGTGACCGTTTCTGTGGTAGCCATAGGAAAGGTATTGCTGGTGACCCCACCCCTCCCCTTGCAGATGTGAAGTTCCTGAACAACCACACCTTGGTGAAGGATGCTCAGGAGAAGGCCAACGCCGCCCTGCTGGACTACACCCTGTGCCACTACCCGCACTGCGGGGACAAGTTCCAGCAGCTGCTGCTGTGCCTGGTGGAGGTGCGGGCCCTGAGCATGCAGGCCAAGGAGTACCTGTACCACAAGCATCTGGGCAACGAGATGCCTCGAAACAACCTGCTCATTGAGATGCTGCAAGCCAAGCAGACTTGAGCCTGGGCCACGGGGCGGGGCCAGGGCCGGGAGGGGCTGCATCACTGTAGCCCTCAGACGGCTTGTGGATGGCGCTGACCCGCGAGCCCCACCAGGTAGGCCCTGCCCCTCAGCTCTGACGCCGTGTGTCTGGGAAAGCCGGCGGGCTGGGCAGGGCCTGGCTAAGGTGGGGTGGCCCCCGCCAGCCACTGGCACTTGTCTGCTACTCAGAGTGCCCGAGGAGGCGGCTGCTAACCCCTCCCTCCCCTGCTCCCCGCTGTCTGTCCTGGGGTCTGAAGCATGCAGGTCCAGGGGAGGAGGTTGGGCCTAGTTCCCTGGTGGGCCTCCATGTCCCTGGGGTCAGAGGTCACCCCTTCCCCCTTTCCTGGAAACAGAGACAAGGAGTTGAGGGGCGTCAACCGGGGGAGAAGAGAGGATCTCCAGAACACCCCTTACCCTTCCCACCCTCCCTCCTCCACCCCCCTCCACCCAGACACTAGGAGGGAAATTCTCTGTCTTGTAAACTAGGGATAAGTGCATTTGCTCCATGGGGCAGGGGCTGTTGGGCCCTGGAGGATGCTAGGAGACTGGTTAGGACTAAGAGGCCCCCTTCCTAGCCCTAGTGCCCTAGCTGACCTCTGCAGGGGAACTCTGATGCATTATTTGAAAAGAATTTTCCGCAGCCGTCTCTGTATCCCCCTCCCACCAGAGAAGGGTTGGTACAGGCAATGTTCTAGCCTCACCCGTAACTGGTCAGGTGGGTAGTCCTCTTTTCATTTGCTTGTTTTTTGACTCTGCTAGACACTCCCTGAAAGGTGTGCACAATGGAGGGGAAGGGACAGGTTTGAGGACAGAGGCTAGGATCTGGGGATGAGCACCAAGGACAGCCCGTGGTATCTCCAGCCACCCTTGTACTGAGTTCCCTGGGGGTGGTGCTGGGTCCTTTCTGAGCCCCCACCCCAATCCAAAGGAGAGCTGTTGCCTGCCCTCCACTCCACTGGAGGAACAGCAGGGTGCCCCGTGGGGTGCTCAGTCTCTGTGGGCAGGAACGGGGAACTTGGGAGGACACCTGGCCTCTAGATCAGGGAAAGTGCTGGCAAGCCCCTCCCTTATGCCCCATCCCTTGCTGCAAACCCATGAAACTGGGCCTCGGCCCTTGGCCTCCTGCTCTACGTCGTGGAAGATACTATCTAGGGCCAGGTGCTAGGGAGAGGCCTCTCTGTCCTCCGTGCCCAGACCAGGCACCTGCAGCCTGCCCTGCTTTCACGGTGCCATTGCAGCTTGCACTCAGCTTGCCCAGTTGGACCAGACTGGACATCCTTGTTTCCCTCACCCTCTGCCACCTTGTCTCGGTCCTCCGCCGCAAACACGTGCCCCTGCCAAGGTCAGAGACCCACAGCCCCAAACGAGAAGTGCCCTTAAGAATCCCCCCCAGCCCCCGCAGTCCTGGAATAAATTTTGCAATTAGTTTCCAGCTACCTTTGCCTGTTTACACTCTGGAGCCAAAGCAGAACCTCCCAGGTGGGTTTTGAGTGGCCAAGAGTGGGGCTCTGACTTGGACAGAGATGACACACAGACAGCCTTGGTCCAAAACTCTGGGTGGGCAGGATGGACGGTGGGGCTGGGTCAGGGGACCCCAGGTGCTGCTGGGGTTTGGGCTCTACCTCAAACCTAGGACCTTGACGACTTGGGCTTCCGGCTCTCGGCCTCCGTCTTCCCTTTCCTGGCTAAGCCAGCTCAGCCTCCAGCTTGGGTCAAAAGGACCAGCCATTTACTGAGCACCTACTCTGTCCATCCTTCATCTCCCTGTCCCTGCAGCAACCCTGTGAGGCAGGGGCTATGATCCAGGTGGGGAAGGCACTTGCCAAGAGCCCCTCAACCGGGGAAGAGAGAACGAACCATCTGAGCGCAGGTCCTTTCCCCTCCACCCTGTCTCGTCCCTCCTGGATTCCCTCCCTCCCCTGCATGCTCCAGGTTCTGTGACCAGCACTTCACCTGCCTCATCCAGTCTGCTCTTCCCAGCCGCTTCCATAGGTGGCAGCCAGGTTACGGGTGAGGAAACTGAGGCACAGAGAGGTAAATGGCTTGTCCAAGGCCACACAGCTGAGAAGGGGCACGGCCACCATGCAAAGCTCCCTTATCCTGACCCGCGTCGACCAATTTAACTCATCTCCTAGGGCCACCCGGGACCCCCTGGAGCTTCTGTGTGAATCAGAAGAAGGTGCCCCTCTAGGACAGTGTAGGCACATGGCATGGCAGGGACTTTCATGCAAAGAAAAACGTACCCCTCTCTTTCCTGGCACCTGCAGGAATAAAGCAGAGGCCCTGGTTCCTGCCCTGGGCAATGTACAGTCTTGAAGGAGGAGACTATCTTCATCAGATTATAGTCTGTTGTGATACTTCATGTAACTGAGCCAAACAAGATGAGGAAGGGGTTGACTCTGCTCCTGGGGGAACGGGGGTAGGACAGGAAGGCACCATAGCAGAGGAAACCCATCCAAATTGGGTTTTGAAGGATGCCCAGGAGTTTACCAGCTAGACAGGAGTTAGGGGCAGTCCAGGCAGAGTGTGAGTAGAAGATGGAGTGGTGTTAGCCAGTGGTGTCTGGGGAGCTAGAAGAAGTTCCTTTGACTAGGGAGTAAAGAGGGGGTGTGTGGGGAAGAAGGGTATGGAACAAGGGAGGGGAGACAGGAAAGGACCTGCTGGCTCCACCTCTTGCCCCTCCCCCACAGCCCCTATGACCGGTTTGCAGGGAGGCAGGAACCCCATGAAGGTGAGGGGAAGGAGTCAGAGGACACTAAGGTGATAGGGGGCTGCCAAGTGCCCTGCCCACCTCCTTGCTGCTCCTTCCAGCTCGGGCTCCCATCCCCCCACAGCAGCAGGCAGGACCCACCCCGCTCGCTCAGGCCAGAATGACCCAACCTTCCCTCCACCTTTCCAGCGCAGGGCAGAGGCTCTGCTGCTCTCCCATGGAACCATGCTGTCTTCTTTTAGACCTCTTCCCCAGTCTGGTGCCTTCCAGGCCTTGGCCCTCACCTCCTCTGGGCCGCAGGGTCCGGCCCCCACAGCCTGGTGCATGTCTCTGGCCACAGCTGATGTTTCCAGAGTGCCTACTGTATGCTGCGCACTGTGTCCAGAACTAACACGCTGGACCACACAGACCCCTCACATGCACTGCCGAGTGGGCCCATGTCCTCCGTGCTACAGGTGATGGATAGGGCCTTGAGAGGCTTAACAGCTCTTGTCCCCAGAATGAATCACCCAGACTCCTGGACTCGTGTGGGTGGGTCAAACATCCCCAGATAGATTCTGTCCCAGACTGCACCTTGTCAGGGTTCAGAGTCGAAGCGACTAAGGCCGCTGGTGCTGTGTGTGCATCGCTGGGTCTCTGATGAAGCTTCTCAGGCAGCCCTTCCCCCAGGCTGCCTGAGCTCCTGGGCTATGCTGCAGCACCAGCAGCAGCGGCAATGAGCCAGGCTGATGTCAGCAGGATGGTGTCGGCAGCCTGTGCACCACAAGTTTCAGCCCGTGGACCCCACCTTTGCCTGACCCCTGCGTTGGGGCCTACTCTGGTACCAGGCCTGGAGCTAAGCCCTAACATACTATCCCTGCTCCTTCCTACCAGACCCAAGACCCATTCTACAGAAGAAGAGACCAAGTCTCAGAATGATCTTGCCCACAGCCATGCAATGCATGTGGCAAGGGTCTGGCCCCACAGTCTGACTCCCCAGTGTCAAGACCCTCAGGCCTGGAGCAAGCCCCAGCTTCCACACTGCACCTGTGGCTGTCCCGCGCCTCCTCTGGGCAGTCTGCCTGCTGGGCGACCCCCACTCACACCAACTGCACCCCCAGGTTCCTGCACTACATGCCAGAGAGACCTCGGTCTGAGTCAAGGCCGAGTCCCAAAGCCGGTGGCAGCTTCCCTTGCTCCCTCCCTCTTCCCAGAGAGCCCCTCCCCAGGCCAGGACAACACCCAGGGAGGGCCAGACAGTAGAGCCCCCCAGTTTATTGCCACAGACACTGCAGGGCACGTCAGAACTTGGGGGCAGGTGGGAAGGAACGAGTGGGGACAGAGTCGCGGGCTTGGTGGGGTTAGGGAAGCACCAGGGCTGGGGCCCACACCCCGGTGGGAGGAGGGAGGGGCTGAGGCCGCCGGAGGAGGGGCTGATCCAGGGGCTGCTGTTCAGTGCCTTTCACGGACATGGGTTCTGAAGCCCCGCGCAGAGCAGAGTCGGGCGGAGCTCGGAGGAAAGGCCCCTGTGCACTCTTTCTAGAAACCTGGAGGAAAGTGTGCCCTTCGGGCTGGGCTGGCAGAGAATCGTGGCTGGGAGAAGACCCTGGGCAGTTTTCTCCCCGAGCCTCAGTTTCTCCATCCTCAGAACCCTGCATGCCCAGAGGGCTCCGCGGGCGTCTCGGAGGGCGGTGGCGGGCACCCCGACGGACACACGGCTGGCCGCTCCACTCCCGCACCTCGTGGTCAGGCCACGGAGCGGGCTGCGGGGCGGGGTGG